CACCATCACCATAACCACTGCCAGTCACCACCATCACCATAGCTACCGCCAGTCACTACCATCACCATAACCACTGCCAATCACCACCATCACTATAACTGCCTCCAATCACCATTATCACCATAACTACCACCAGTCACCACCATCACCATAACTACCACCAGTCACCACCATCACCATAACTACCACCAGCCACCACCATCACTGACTGCTGCCATCACAAAGGCAAAGCCCCCTCTCCCGTGGGCACCAGCTCAGGGGCAGCCAGTTTTCCATGCGCCTCTTTCCCAAGGTCTCTCTGCCCCCTCTTGCTATCTCCTCAGGCTTTTTCCCTCCCTGCCTGGCCTGGGAAATTTCCTCCCGAGTAAATGTCACTCCTTGAGGACCTTATCAAATAAGCTGGAAATATTGAACATCAAGGAAGAGAAAAAAGCCGCTAAACTTCAACAAACTCCAGTCAGACTTGCTCTGCTCTTTGGTAAGAAACCCGAAGAGGTCAGAGGGAGGGAGTGTTTGATGACCTTCTCTCCCTCCCCCTCCCGTAACTTGCTGCCATCCTCCCAGGAGCATCCGCTCAGTTCCTGCCAGTGCTCAGAACACTCCTGGAAAGTCAGTCATCTGGCTGTCTCTTTTCTTTTTGAGTCCCATCCTCCTTGTGTGGCCCCTGCGAATGTGTTCACATGAATGAATTGATCAGCATTTCTCCCCTTATGTCTGTTGGTCTGTCTTGTCTATCAGTCTGTCTTGGCAGACACAGTCTGAACCTGCAGAGGGAAAACGTGAACTTCCCTTCCCTTCAGTGGCATCAGAACTCCATCAGAAGAACAGGAAGAATTGCCCAAAGGTTTTGCTACGACTTAAGAACAAATGTATAATTTAAGAAAATATCTTTTTGTTTGGTGATATCTTTTTCAGGTCTGTTTTTGTAAGTATCAAATAAAACACTGGAGGCAGACCTCTCCCTCAGAAGCTCTTGTCTATTCCAGCCACGCAGCCAGAGGGGACTCTGAGCAGACCCCACGCAGCCAGAGGGGACTCTGAGCAGACCCCACGCAGCCAGAGGGGACTCTGAGCAGGCCTCCACAGGGTGACTTCCGGGGACCGTATTCTGGTTAGGATGTTTTTGTCAGTTTGACACGAGCTAGAGTCATCTGGGAAGAGGGACCCTGAATTGAGAGAGTGCTTCTATCCTATTGGTGTGTAGGCAAGGCTCTGGGGCATTTTCTTAATTGCTCACTGAGATGGTGCCACACCTTGGGAGGCATTCCTGAGTTGTATTAAAAGCAAGATATGGAGCAAGCAAGTAACCAGAGTTCTTCCATGGCTGCTGCTTCAGTTCCTACTTCCAGGTTCCTGCCTTGAGTTCCTGCCCTGATCTCCCCTCATGATAAACGATGATCGTAAGGTGCTTTGGGTCAGTGTTTTATTGCAGAACTAGAACCCAAACCAGGATAGGCTGTCAGCTCAGGAACCAGTGACTTCTGCCGAAGTCATTGACCAAAGGACTCCAACAGACTTCTGAGACTTAAACCTGGGTGCCCACACAGGCAGTCTGAACTGCCTAGCCTAAGATTCACTCAGGGTTCCTGGAGAGCGGAGGCTATAATACAGATGCTCAGGGAGACCACCTTCTATTTCTCAACTGAAATATCCACAACTAGTTGAACAGGACAGGTAGTACCATATCTGGGAGCATCAGACAAGCCAGAATGGTGAGCCCAAACTATTAGGGAATGTCAGGGGAAGTTAATTAACGCTGAAATTCTTTATACCGGATTCTGCATCCCAAGCCAGCTGTGTGCTTTAGTACAGCCTAACCCTGCATCCTGAGCCAGCTGTGTGCTTTAGTACAGCCTGACACTGCACCCCGAGCCAGATGCATGCTTTAGTACAGCCTGACCCTGCACCCCGAGCCAGATGTGTGCTTTAGTACTAAAGCACAGTCACTTCTTAGGGTCTTGGCTTCCATTTCTGTAAAATGGGACACTAACATTACATTTCAGAGAAATAAATGAAATCTATACACGTCGTGTCAGAAGCTGGGTGGGTGCTTAATTTATCATGGGCTTTCATTTTCATCTCTTTTTGGCCTTTTTTTCCCCATCCTGCCCTGCTTCATGTCCCAGGCTGGGCTCTGAGCCTGCAGGAGAAGCTAAAAGACTAATTAATCTGATGCTCCGAGAATCAAAAAGTAAGCCAGAACTGCCCAACACACTCTCACCTCTGCACCAAGCGGCAGCCCGCCCACTGCTGCAGAGGCATGTCCCAGGATCTTGTTTAACAGCAGGTTCCTGAAATGGCTCCTGAACTACAGATTCACCTCCATGGACCCAGTGATCTGAGTGTGAGATAAATGCCCTACAGGAATCACACCGGAGGAACAAAAGCAAACAGAGCTATGGTTGGAGAGGAAAGCAGTGAAGGAGGTGAGCTGAGCCTTGGGTTACCAGGGGAAAGCCTCTTACCACTGACTTAATGCAGTGTGAAGAAGGAAAGGAGTCACATGGGCATCACAAATGCAGCCCCGCCCCAACCGCACATCAGAATTGCTAGTTCTCCACAGACAGACTTTGCATCCTGGTGTCTGGATAGCCAGGGTTTCCAGTCTGGATACTGACTACCCTTCAGCTCCACTGCATCTGTCCCTCCTCAGAGCAACGTCTATGGCCCCTCTTGTCCAAGGAAAAAGCCCAAAGATGTTCTCACAATGCTGTAGACCCCTCTACATAGCTCCCATCCAACCCAGGGCTCAGTTGCAAACAGTGGATAAAACCTTCAGTAAAAAAGGAAACTAGAGAGCTATTTCTAGATCCCCTGAAAGGGAAATTACTAAGCTGCCATTTGGGCTGTGAGAGAAACGGTGATCCTTCCTGCCCACTCCAGCCTCTTCTCAGACACAAGAGTCCAGACCCCCAGGCCTGTCTATGCAAATCACACTAGTCTCATTCTGGAGCAAGCCTCCACTGCAGAGGAGGGGCACTGGGCACCACTGCGCATGACCATGTCCTCTGGGCCACAAGAGACGGGGAAGCCAGGTCCCCACAGACCATGCCACTGCCCTTGGAGAGAGACACGAGATCAGAAGTCATGTAACCCAGGATCATGAGCTCTATTGCCACTCTGAGGGCCTGGAGCATGGTCCTTTAAAACCCCAGCACACTGCTCCTTAGGGGAGCGTGCGCAGCGATTTGGACATTTCATTCTGCTTGAACCAATGCTGAGAGATGTTCATGCAAAGGATTAGCAAAAGCCATGGGGAAGTGCTGCAGGAATCATCTAGAAATGTAGCTGAGGGAGCAACAGCTGAGTTAGAGGACACCGACGTAGGGGCTTCATGAAAAGTGGGATCCTGAAGTCCAGGAGATCCCAGCCACCTGCAGACCCTGACATACCTAAGTGTATCATTTCTCCATATGATCCACACACGGAACATTCTGTGAGGAATGGAAAGCTCAAGCTATTTTGAAGAACTAACTGTGTGGGGAGGCACTCAGAAATCTTGAAACATTTATTAACTTAAACTTCATAGGTAGTTTAGACGGATCTGTATACAGGGCAAATATTAGGGATCATTGCCTATTATTTCTCAGACTTCATGTCTGTTCTCCCTCACCCAGTACTCCATTGAAGGAGGCTCAGTTCCCAGTTAGATGTGACCTAACAGACTCTGGACACCCATGGGAGCCACATGCCCACACATCCAACTTACAGATGTTGACAGAGCCCGTGCCTTTACACAACCTAGGGGAAGAGGAAAGATGAACCGTCACAGCTGACACCCTCTGGGTTTGCAAGCTGTTCATGTCATTTAGCATAGCCTTCCACAGCCTCAGAACCTCAGTTTCCCTCTCTGTAAAATGAGTAAACAGTGGCATCATCCCACTTTGAATGTCCTCTTCCTGGAGTGTTCCAGCCACTGAGACACTATTCTGTCCACCCAGACACTATTCTATCCACCCAGACACTATTCTGTCCACCCAGACACTATTCTATCCACCCAGACACTGTTCTACACACCCAGACACTATTCTACCCTTCCAGACACTATTCTACCCTTCCAGACACTATTCTACACACCCAGACACTATTCTACCCTTACAGACACTATTTTATCTCTGAATAAGAGCCTAAAAGGATACCCCTACTCACACCGAGAACCCCTGTCCTCACTGGCTTCCTCGCCCTCCAACAGCTTCCATTAAGTGACAATCTCCACGTCCATCCCAAGTTTGGAGTTCTTGACCTCCTGGTAGTGTTTTAGCAAGTGGGCTATGTCCTGCTTGGCCTTCTGCAGCTTGTGGTGCTGGGGACGGGGGTAGGGGAAATTTGAAAAGGTACAGCCAATGGGGATTTCTGGTAGGTTGTCACTGACCTTGGTCACACTACTCCCTGCCATTTAAAATGGTCACTCTTAGCACTTAGCAGTGTGGTGATGCACAGCTTTAATCCCATGACTTGGGAGATAGCGTGCTGGGGTTACAGGTGGGTGTCACCATGTGTAGACCTTTTTTCCTACATTTTTGTACCACTTTATTACAAAATTCATTTGATTTCACATGTGATCCAGAAGAGGGAAAGAGTGTCACACTGTCATAGCCCTGATAATTAGTGACATTTCTGTAGTCTGTAAGCCAGTGCTCGTTATCGTATGTCTGTGTGCCAATGATTTACAAGGCACTTTCACAGACGCTGCGTTATTTGCCTTCAGCCTTACTCGACGGGCTTGTCAGAACAAGCACTGCTGTCTCCACTGTGCACGTGAAGAAACTGAGGCTCAGAGAGGCCATGGCCTGTCTAGGTTTTCCCGGAGAAGGGCCAAGCACAGACTACAGGAGCTGCTGTGTGGGGTGGGTGTCATTGTGACCAACAGAGTCAGCACACTGAAGGAAGAGCCCGAACGTCAGCAGCCACTTCTCAGCCAAGCACCCCAGAGAGCACAAATATGTGAGAGGAAGCTGAACCCAAATAGATGCCTCTCCTGCCTGAGGTCAAATTCTACAGCTCCACTCTATGGTTATAGATAGAGGAACCAGTAAGCATCTAAGAGTGTGGCCAAATTCCACAGCTGCACTCTATGGTTATAGATAGAGGGGCCAGTAAGCATCTAAGGGCGCATGCTCTTGCTTTCTCTCACCTGGTTGAAACAAAATAAAGATCACGAGCAGTTTTTCCCAGCTTTCTTTACTCCACCCTCTTTTATAGCATTGACTGACAGCACACTTAGAAAATCACTAACAAGCTAAGATTCAAACAATTCCCGTGTGGGATGATGGGAGGAGCCATGCCCACAAGAAAGAGAACATGAACCTAAGCTGTAACTACTGACAGAAAGCCCAGCAGCCACCTGAGACCTCAAGATTCCCCAGTTGGCGCGGTCTCAGTTACGGCATGGGGAGCAAAATGGCCTATGCAAATACGCACTGGACTCTTGGGGACATGGCTGACACTGGCCCCATCCCCAGTGCCTGTGACGTCATTCTCACGCCACCGTCTTCAGCATAAGCTTATCAGCTCTTCTTCATACCAGGGAGGGAGCACAGGGAAGGTTGGCCCGCTACAGCCTGAGCCACAAACCTCCCTGGTCTTTCTAACTCTCTGTGTGCCTGTGGCAGTCAGTGTTTGTCATCTGGACCTAAAGGGAGACACCAGAAAGGGAGAACCCCCGCTGAGGCATTGCCTCCGTCAGATTGTCCCGTGGACATGTCTGTGGGGGGGGGGCATTTCCTTGATTGTTAATAGATGGGGAGAGCCCACTCCGGGCAGTGCTACCTCGGGGTGATTGGTCCTGAGTTCAAGGTATCCTGGAAGCAAATAAATAAAGGACTTTTCTCCATGGTTTCTGCTACACACTCCCTCCTTGTCTTCCTTTGATGATGGACTGTAACCTATAAGCTAAAATAAACCCTCTCCCCCGACCCCTTGCTTTAGATCATACACAGCAACAGAAAGAAAAGAGGCTTGAGGAAAGGGTGAAGAAAAAACATCAGTATCCCCAGACTGGCCAGAGCTACACAGAGCTACATTGCACCACACATTCCGGCCATGCCCAAAAGAAAGGCTGAGGGTGCTAATGGATATAAAACCAAGGTGAAGTGATGCAGACAGCCCTGCAAGGTTCCCCGCTAAACCTGCTCCTCCAAAGCCAGAGCCTAAAAGGCCCAGAAAAGATGCGAGAGAAGGTTACCAAAGACAAGAAGGGGGAAGCTGATTCTGGCGAAGGTGGGAATAACCCTGAAGAAACAGGGATGCAAGACAGATCAGGTATAGGCAGCTGAAGGAGCTAGAGACACCAAGGGAAGTGTGTGTGTGTGTGTGTGTGTGTGTGTGTGTGTGTGTGTGTGTGTTATAACGGCATACTTCTTGTGAGTGTACATTTGGAATACTATTTCTCTAGAGTTTTATAAGATGCAGAACTCCTGTGCTTTAAAATATGTGGCCAGCACACAGAATGTGTCATTGTTTGTAGGAGGAAGGAACATGCGTCACTAACAAAATATCTCTCAAGTTGGACTGGTCTGAGGAAAATGCCTTTCCCTGACGGTATTGAAATTCTCCTGCGGTGGCTGGAATGAGAAATGTCCCACACAGACTCCAGTATTTGAACACTTGGTTCCAGTTCAGGTGGTACAGCCTAGCTGGAGGAAGGGAGTCACGTGGGTGAATTTTGAGGTCAGATAGTCTCACCCTACTTCCAGTTCCTTCTCTACTTCACACTTGCAGTTGAGGACACGAGGTGTCCACTTCCTGCTCTGGCCAGCATGCCTACATTTGCTGCCAGACTTCTCTACCAAGATTGATGTGGGATTCCTTTCTGCGTGCTGTGAATATGTTTTATTACTATTGATTAATAAAGAAGCTGCTTTGGCCTATGGCAGGGCAGAATATAGGTAGATGGGAAAGCTAAACTGAATGCTGGGAGAAATCCAAGCAGAGACAGAGGGAAGAAGGCAGAGCCTGAGAGATGCTGAAGGAGAAAGACACCAGAACCTTACTAGGAAGTCACAGCCACATTAATAGAAATGGGTTAATTTAAGATTTAAGAGCTAGGAATATGCCTGAACCATTGACCAAACAATGTTGCAATTAATATGGTTTTGTGTGATTATTTGGGTCTGGGTGGCCGGGAAACCAAAAAACAGTCTTCAGTTTACACGGGATGGACTCTTACCCTCTGGAACCATAAGCCAAAATAAATTCTATCTTCCATGAGTCACTTTGGGGCAAGATGTTTTATCACAGAAATGGGAAAGTAATTAATATAACTCCTCTTGGCTTCCATGAGGAATTTCTGAAGATTGATACATACGGCCACCTTGACACAAAATACCTTGTGGGGTGAGAATTCTAATTTCATGCTCACATCCTCCTCACCTTCTGCCATCAACATAGGCTTACCTCCTTTAAATCCAGACATGTTGAGACCTGAGCCCCTAGAATTGGCTCTGTTTGTATGTTAGGGTTGGTTCATCAGAAAAGCAGCTATTCCTTTTCTGAAAGGCTGTGGACCTTCTAACTGATCGGGATCAGTTAACTAAAAGTGAAGTCGCTGAATGTGAAGTGTCGCCTGCACGCAGCCTCCGAGAAAGACTTCACCAGCTTCTACAGTGACTACTGATCTCGATAGAGTGTACAAGGGCAGAGGTTGCAAGTTCTTGAACACTAGTAATAACTGTCTGACCGTGTTCTTCCTGAAGTATGGAGGTTGTAATAAATGTATCTGAGTGTGGCTTGGTTTGGTGAAAGAAAGAGGGGTAGGAGAAGAAGAAGAGGGGGGAAGAAGATAGAGGCTTGTCTCTTGGGGTTTGCAGTTTCCAGCCATGGGTGCCTAGGAAAAGGATCCTGGACTCTGGTCCCAGCTTGAACTGAAATCTCAACAACATCTGAGGCAAGTCACTTACTCTCCATGTGCCTGGACAGTAAGCAAAGCCAGAGCCTGGAGGAGTGAACCGAAGGTGGCTGCCCCCAGCGCCCTTCAACTCTAGCATTATAAAACCATGACACTCTCCAAGTTGTTAAGATGGATCACCCACAGCCTTCCTCTCCCACCTAATACCCTACGTCTTGAATTCCTAAAAGTAGGCCCAGTCCAGGACATTCCCTCAGCCCTCTTCACCAGCCTGCTCCTTGCCCCACCCGTGATACCACCTTTCTGGACCAGCATGGCCCCAGCTGACATGGGAGAGCTCAGCCCCCCAGAGCATAGTTCCCATGATTTCCTAATCCTGGGCTGCAGTTAACTGCAGTTAACTCCCAGCCCTTTAATTACCATCCCTTGCATGCCCGGCTGGGAGCTAGACCTGGACAGCTGCCCGTTGAAAGTGTGTGAGTGTCTGCTCCACTCCAACAGAAGGAAACCCCCCTGCTGTATCTCTTGAAGTTTTAAAAGTTGGTCTTTCAACATCTGATTCCAGGAGAGTCAGGGTTAGACTAATCAGGACAAGCTGATGTCAAATCTTTTTTCCTAAGATTAATGCTATTCAGTGGTTCAGCATTTGCTACCCATACAGGAGGCTTGTGTTTCATCCTAGAACCACATCATAGTAGTAGCAAAATCATCTTTCACACTGTCCATATCTTCAAGGGAAAGAGGGGCAAATTCACAATGATCCAGCGAGCTTGGCTGGTAAACATGTAAAACCAAAACAAAGGATTTATATTGACATTGAGCTGCAGAGCCTCGAAGAAACAGAGCTTGGTGGTGTATTGCAGAATGACTAATAAAATAAGCCACATTCCTCTGATGCTTTGAAGGGCCTCAGAGAGTCTCAAGATGCCACTCCCAGGGCCTTTCACTCCCCACTCCCACTGGTGATGATTTCCCCCTACCTGCATCTCTCTGCCTTGGGCCTGACCTCCCTGAAACCATCTGTAACTTTTCAAAGGTCATAGTCATGCCTGAAGTGATTTCCCTTGCACCCATTACCCCTCCCATAGAAAGCACACAATTTACACCCTTGTAGTCATTCTACAGGATGAACTTTGTGCTGCAAGCCAAGCACTGACTCCTCAAACGTGGTCCACTCTCTAACGCTTAGGACCTAAGTGTGTCATGAACCTAGTGAATGGTCTTGCTTTTAGAATAACGGTCATGGAGTTGAAGACTGGGGTTCTTGGATGCCCAGGTGGGCAAAGGACAGTCACAGGGTATAAGAATAGCTGTCATCTCTGGGTGGTGGCGCATGCCTTTAATTCCAGCGCTCTGGAGGCAGAGGCAGGCAGTTCGAGGCCAGCCTGGTCAAAGGAATAAGCTCCAGGACAGTCAAGACTACACAGAGAGATCCTGTTTTAATAACCCCCCCAAAAAAAAAATACCACAAAAAAACCTTGTCATCAAGAAAACAAACAAAAATGTAGAGTGAAAAGGACCCCTTATGCCTGTTGAAATTGGAATGGGTCTATGGTTATGTCCAATTTTCTGGTCTCCAAATGAATTCATGGAGCTGGATTTCCGATGCAAATTGCATAAGGGTTTTTAATATCAAACTCAGTTTGAACAAACTCCTTTCCAGCACCCCAGCATGGTGGGTGCAGAGGGTGTAGCAGGGAGCCCTGGAAGGGTAGAACTTTTAAAGGGGAAACACTGTAATTAGGGAAGCTCGTGTCCTGTCGTCTTGGCATTGGGTAAGGAAGGCATAGGGTAAGGTAGTTTCTGAAATCATTGGTCAGTTCTTATGTGTGAAAACCTAACAAAGAGCCATTAATAACTGACAAGGTGTCTTCAAGGACAGGATGACTCTTAGGAACATCTGGACCGCAGTTAAATTTTATGGCCCTGCTCCCTAGCTCCTTAATTGGTTATTTTAGGGTATCTGTTTAAATTTTGCTATTGCAGCACATAATGAGATCAGCCCCCTGCTCTTTATATGACTTAAGGTGAAGGAAGCCCCTTTTTAAAATGGAGTTTGTAAAATCGGGTCCTCAAACTATCTGCTGTGGACGTCAGTGTGGGG